TAAATCTATACTACAGCAACTAGTGGATATACCCTGCGAGATTCTAGGGAGTGGCTATCCTGAACCTCTTACTCTTCTCATGCTCCCCCTGCAGATTGTGTTGTCTTTTGCCTCCTTTCCCCTGCTGGAATGCCTTGATCTCCCACATCACTCTCCTCCTTATAGATACATTAAATCACATCATGGCCTCTATGATGCTAATTATATGATTCAGATAACCTGGCCCAGAATAATTTTAAGATACTTACTAGCACTTGAAATGGAGCTTAGATATGAATAGATAATGAATGGAATAATAGTGTTACATGCTCCAACATATTGGCAGCACAAGCATCTTAGCAGATGAATTTTCCAAACAAAGTTTCCATTAATAACTGTTTTCCAAATCACATTAGGAACATCTAGGGTAGCTTTCCTCTACCTTTTTATTCTGGAGGAACCCTCAAAATCATTTTCAGGTCTCAGGGAAGCCCTGCATAAAAATTGCAAAACAAAACAAAAACTTCACAATATGGTTCACTTCTGACCTACACAATCCATGTTTTACAATGTTTACAACAAGAGCAGAGCAGGAAGCTGGCAGCTGAGTTGTGGCATGTAAACATTTCCTTTGTGAGTGTGAGCATTGCGCAGTGCACATAGTTAAAAAAAAAGTTTTTTTTTTTAAATCATGATCTCTTGTAGAACCTGTAGTGACTTCTTGTGGAACCCTAGGGTTCTGTGGAATTTAATTTGAGAAGGTCTCGTGCTTCTCAGTAACGGCAGAATAAAAAAGTTGAAGCTAACAAGATTATCCTAATTTCATCCCTCAGATCTTAATTGTTGTTAAACAGAACAGTTGACTAATGCTGTGTCAAATAATGCTCTCCTGAAAGCAGAACATTTGAAGACCTCAAATGTGGCTATAATGTTCAGAGTTGCTGATAGATATAAGAAAAGCATAAGCATAAGACAGCAATAATTCATTCAATATTATTTAATGTTTCATTCACAATGCCCAGAAGAAAGACTAAAGGTATATTCTCATAGAACATTTACATATAATGCCTTGTGATATTTTTATTATAATTAACTTTCAAACAGGCTTATAATTTACATTCCATCAAAAAAAGATAATTAAAGTAAAACCTAATGAGCATGAAATCCTCACGAAATTCAGGTTGGTCTAATTCATAAAATCTTTTTAAAAAGGAAATACCTGACTCTTTCTCTGAAAGGAAACTTTTTTGACAAACCCTTTCTGGTTGAAGTTCTGTAGAGAGAGGGTATCAAATAGAAAAGAACTGGAATTAATAATTCATGCGCCATGATGATCTTAAAAAGGGTCTTTCCAAATCACATTGGAGTTTGGGGCAAGCAAGCATAGTAAGAAATGTTCCTTCAGATATACAGGCTGTATTACAATACAGATTTTAGAATAAAAAAACAAAACTCAGATTTTAAACTGGAAATAAATGGTAATTAATACAGTTCTTTCAGAATTAGAGTAATAGATCGTTCAGACCTTTCAGAACATCACTTCTGTATTCTAGAACTTTTACCGTTGTTGAATGTATTTCAAAGACATACTGCTGCAGGGTGACCTGCAGTGATAGCACTGGTGTCCCAGTGATCAAATTCTTGAGATTCTAGTAAGTGGAAATGTATTCATTTCAAGCAAATAGCTGGTAGTTACGAGTGGAAGATGCTAGTCAGTAGGCACCAAAAGGAAGAGGAGAGACCGGCAGTAGAATGGATTAGTATTTTTAAAAGCAAAAACAAAAAGTTTACCATTTCTCAAAATGTTCTCTGTAACTTGAATTATTGAAATTGCTCCAAAAATGTATATATCAGTGAGTGAGTGAGTGAATGAATGAATGAATGGTTTTTGTGTCTATTGGATACCTCATTTAAAAGGGATGGGTTTAGTAAGATGATTATACGAAGCACACATTGATTAACAACAGTTCTTTCTTTAAAACAGACTCAAAAATATCATTACCTTATACATATGGATGCCCTTTTTTTATTATGCCAGAAAGAACATTCTTTTAATTTTCAGCAAATCCAAACACTTTTCTTTCATTAGTTTTAGTATTCAACAAGTCTAGCCACTGAAAGCCCATTTTCCAGGCATAGTGTGGAGTTGGAGCTCTATTGTGGTAGCTGATCCCGCTTGTATTCATTTGAATGTTTACAGGCAAGTACCATGTATCTTGATATAGACATTGTGGCCATGGTTCATCCAATGAATAGATTTGTGAAGATTTACCATTATACTGCTCTCTACTTTGTGTTTTAACTATATCTCTCCCCCTTCTTTTAAAAGGAGGGAGTGTACCTAATAATACATGGATGTACCTACAATATTGAATAGCAGCATTCCCTCTGTCATTGGGGACTGAAGGTTAATTTCAGTGCCCTATCCTATTTACTAGTTAATGACTTAGTGCTTTAGCCTTTCATTATAATGCCAGATTTGGTATTCGGTTCCTAGTGTTCCTTTACACACACACACACACAAATACACATAAATTCACATGTGTCCCTTTTGGTTATTCTGGGTAGTCCTTGGATTTCACTGAATCCAAAAATTGGTGACTCTGGCCTCTGTGTTTTTTCCAGTTTACCAGCTTTGCTTTGTAGGAACAGAGTGCTTTTCCCATCTGATACAAGATAAGGAGGAATGAGAACCCAATACAAGAGCAGTTGATACCATCTTAGAGTTAGTATGTGAGTCAGGCACGTATCTTTTCAATAGCAGCAAGCTGTCTCTTAGATTTAAACGAATTGCTAAAAAAACAACATGAAATGTTTTTCACACCTCTGCTATGCATTAGCCTTCCTTGAAGTTAATTTAAAACATTGTTAATCCGAGAGAAAACAGCAGATAACATGATAGTGTTCATTTGTACCATGATCCATTCCTTTTTTATTGGAAGTAAGACCTGTTGAATTCCAAAAAGTTTATTCCTAAAAAAATGCTTAAGATTATTTCTTTGGTTTTTATGCTATTCCAATAATTACCTTGTAGAAACAGAGTTAACAGTTTTCTAAAAATTCCACAGGTTCCCTCTTCATGCTGTTACTATGATTCCTTTAAAAGACTGTATATGCTACAGAGCTGTATATATATTTATTAATACATTGAGTGAATCACTTATTTTACAAACTTCAAATTTAACTCTTTTTTTTTAATTGTGGGTTGTATTTTTGTTGTGGGGGTGGTTAAACTTATATGGATATTGGTATCAGACTCTTTTATCTGAATCTATGGTGCTTGAATATAAATGGAAAAGATCACAACTATAGGGAGAAGACTTATACTGTAAGGCCTTTCTGCATAGATTATGAACATCATAACTCAATAATTCTTTTCCAGAACTTTAGTTATAATTAGACCCAATGGGGGCCTCTCTCTTTGATCATATCACAGTAACTGTGACTTTACATTGGAAAATGTCACTACTGTGAAGGTTTATCACCTGTAGAGATAGTCTTTTCTCTGATGCCATGTTCAGCTCTCATTAGCATTATTCAGAGCTTCATTGTTAATTAAATTGATGCTTCAATTACAATCATCATTGTTAAGAATAATCATGACTGCTTATCTGAAGAAACAAAAGGACATTCATTCTTGTAGACTTTTTAAGATTGACATCTGTTTTGGTAGTACATTTCCATTTTCATAGATGGGGAAAATACTCTACTAGCTGTAATGAGGCATTTTGCATATCCTGCATTCAGTGATATTTGCAACCTGCACATTTGTCTGCAAAATATGAAGAATCATTAATGGATTATTAACACTAATGCAATTCTTCTGCAAAAGCAGGAATGCTCTGGTTCTTAGAATTATTGGCAGAATACTTTCTGCAGTGTAGAGCTGTTCCACAATTCCCATGTTTTTTATCCAGATACTATAGATCAAGAATCCCACATAAGCTCCATATGTACATGGAACCTATACTTGTGATAGTTGGCTGAAAAATACATATAAAAGAAGTGGGCAGTCTTTTGGTGCTCAATAGCCATATTAGGGGCAAAGGCAAATGTGTATTTATACATTTATATTATACACACACAAACTTCAGTCTCTCTTCCCTTCAAACTTCAGCTCCTAAATATTCCAAATCAGTGTCTCAACTTTTTCTTTATCCACCCTGTCCTCCATCTCCTTTTTTTTTCTTTTCCCAACTTTCTGATAATTCCCCTGAGCAAGTAGCTGGTATTTTTAAATATACTATGGACACCTATTTATAACATACATTCTTAGGTTTACTGTCTTAATTTAGGGCACTTACCATTAGTTCTGACACTATTAGCTTATTCAGAGATAGACACAACTCATAAGCTGCAGCATGGTGATTTTAAAAAAAGCGCAGTGATTACTATTTAGTTGAAACATTTCTGGCTCATGGTAAAGTATAGCATTACTGAAATCTCCTCTGGTTGGAGAACAAACACATGGTTGTGAATTTTGGTAGCACAGAATAAATGGGATTACACTAAGAGAAAAGCTAAATTTAAAAAATAAAGCAAGTTTTTGTAACACAACTGAAAGATACCTGTTCATCTTTATATGACACAACATTGTGGTGGTGGCAAGAAATCTACAGGAAAAGAATCTCGCAAGCCACTTACTGTAAAATAATTAAAGCTTATTTATGTCAAGAGGCCTTGGAAAAAAAAGAGAGCATAAACCAATTTGCATTAGCACTTACCAGCATCCCCTGCATTCATTTCAATTAACAGATCAGCAGGTGTTCTTTGCAGTTAAAAAGATAAGCTATCAAGGAAGAGCATGATTTTTTGGCTGACCCGCAGACATCATAGCTTGCCTGCTGATTGGGTTCGTACCTCCCTTTACCAATTTCTGATGTGTTAATTTAACTGCTCCTCTCTGTCACACAGGTCTCGGCCTTGAAAAATCAACTGAAGAAGCAGTCCACTGCTACTGGTGATGGAGTAGCTAGGGCCTTCCTCAGAGCTCAGGTGGCCTTGTTTGGATCCTACAGAGATGCACTAAGATACAAACCTGTAAGCTACCTTTTATTATTCACGGGTCTATTTTCTTCTAATTCTGAAGAATGTTTGCAAATTTGAATCATATCTATCTTGCTGCACTTAGAAAATTCTCATGTTTAGCCATGTTATTTATGGAAAGCAGTATACAGTGACCAGATGAAGAAGAAAGTTCTTGGTTTGGTCTTTATTTGTCTCACAGGCAGTTCTAATGTGAAATGGTAGATTACTTGAAGACTGGAGACCACAGATGTACATGTCAGTTTTGGTTTCCAGTTTGCAGCAATGATTTTCAACGAGTCAGAATTATGTCAATAATGAATAAGCCAGAGTTGTTCCTAATAGATATAATTTACTTATTGAGATGCCAGTTCTTGGTCATTATAGTTTGTTTATATAAAATATTCCTATCAGCCTTTTTTTACTTAAAAGCACTCACAGCAACTGATGTAATTTTCTTTTAATTAAAAAGTGGGTAAGTAGTCTATATTTTTATGCATGGTATATGAATCATTCTTTAAAATATATTATATATAAATACCTTGATTAAAAGCTAGTTCTTTTAATTCAGTAAATTTAAGCCGTTCCTGAAATTTGTAACTTTACCACCTAGTGATCTTAATTTATAGTACAGATAGTCCTCACTTAATGACCACAATAGGGACTGGAAAATTTCTCATTAAACAGGGTGGTTGTTAAGCAAAGCATCACATAACCACACCTGATTGTATGACATTTTTTGAGGCAGGCATTAAGTGAATCACCACGGTCCTTAGGCAAACCATACAGTTCCCTATTGATTTTGCTTGCGGGAAGCCGGCTGGGAAGGTCACAAATGGAGATCACATGACCCCTGGACACTGCAACCATCATAAGTGTGAGCTGGTTGCCAAGCACCCAGATCACAATCACATGACCGCAGGGGCACTGTGATGATCGTAAGTGCAGGGACCAGTCGTAAGTAGCTTTTTTTCAGCACCGTTGTAACTTCGAATGGTCGCTAATGAACAGTCATTAAGTGAAGACTACCTGTCCTGCCTTTCAATAAAATAGTGCTTTGTTGCTGCTTAAAGTTGAATCTGTGGTGACATTATTACTTCATAATTTAACATTTTCATTCATGCATCTCTGTATTAGAGAGATGGGGTATATGTGTTATTTCTGTTTTTAAATAACAGAAGCAACCAAATATGTAGAAGAAGTAAATTGCAATAGAAGCCTTTCCTCAAAGAATGGAATAGATTGGTTTCAGCCTGGGCATAACATATAATGTTTAAACACAGCTTGAGATAGGGTTGATGTCTTTAAGATCCTGGCATATAGACATATATAGAGATATATGTTGAGAAAGGGCATATATACCTGTCTGTATATACATCTGACTTTTCTTCAGATTGTTTCTTTAAGTCATTGGCTAAGCCAGTGGTTTTCAACCTTGGCACCTTTAATATGGCTAAGCAGTTCATTTGAGCCCTCTGCCTACTCAGCATACTATTTCAGTATGCATTTTGACTTTTTACCTGTCCCAAATGAATCTCTGCCTTAGCTGATTTAAAGAGTTAATGTTCCTTTGTTTTATGCTTTCTGCTAGCCCAGAAATCCCTGAGCTTCATCTATGGCAGGAGATAAATGGCATTTGTGTTTTTAGAGGTGACAGGAGGGGAAAATAATAATTTTATTTATCTCTGAATGCTAGAGGTATCCTAATACAGATAACATGTAACTAACTAAGGAATTCAGTTTACATGTTCCTTTGAGATTGATTTTTAACATCAAAAGGCATGGCTGAAATACCTAACCTAGTCCCAAAAGACTTCCCTTGCTTTTTCTCCAGACTTTTGTGTTCCAGACTTTTTTTATGATGAAAATTTCTGGAGAACTCAAATCTTGCCCACACTTTTGAATCATTTTGTTGGGTCCTAATAAATATGTTACCAAATTATAGATTTTGGAATTCTGTTTTAATGGGTCAAGTTGACTGTAATTAAGATTTAGCAGAATCCAGCTTAACTATATCTTGTTCAGATAATAGGTGTGTAGCAGATGGGATAATTAATTAAATAATGGAAATATACTTTGTACAAATGAACACCTAAAAACTGAAATATTTTATTAGTAAATATTAATTTAGCTATCTGAATGTTAGTATTTTGTGCTGAACTAGTATTGTATAGCTCCTGTGAATTTCACTGAAAATGTATGTTCATTTTTCATGTGGTAGTCTGTGTAGCATCATGTTTTCAATTTCTACTATAATTTTCAGCTAGAGTAGGGTAAATAGTTTTCTTGAGGTTCCTTCTCCCCATCTACACATACTTGTGTGATTGTATTTTAAAAGTATATTAATTATGTATGTTGCAAGTATGTAGCCTTTTCGATACTTTAAAAAATGCACATCCTTTTGAGTTTAGTTGTTAAAGTTTCTAAATGCCCTTTAACTTCTGTTTAAGCCAATTTCTCCTATCCTAAAGATTTAGGTTATCCCTTCTCATACCACCATTGCTTGTATCATCTCCTTGGACACTGATACTATAGGATGTTAAACAATTGAAACAGGAGATGGTACTTTTTTAGCTTTGAAATTTCTCCAATTTTTCAAACTATAATTGCCAAGCCTTAGCATTATTTAAACATAGCTCTGTGTTATTTTTTTCAAGTTAAGTGGTGGGTGGGTTTCATCCTTCTTACAGAGGTTCCAGTATCTTTTGTATGGCTTTATCTTTTTCTTGGCTAGGTTTCTGAAATGCTGCCAGATTTTTTAAAGTGAAGTATAAATCAAGTTAGTTGTTTATGTTCTTTGTAATCTTTTAATGATATGGTTTTTAAGAAAGGTGATTTGTTTAGTGTATTACAGTATTTTTCTTCTTCCTGCTTTATCATGAAGAATTACACATTTATCGCACATAATTTTTTTCCCTTTCCAAAATATTTCACAAAAGCAAGTAGGCTTTAACTGTTCTTGTTTTCTTGATAAGTTTTGTACATAATAAATGTGGGCATACTTTTGCCATCATTTTTCGTCCACTAACTTTGACCTAAAGATCAGGACTGTCATGAATAGGATTGGAATAGCCCATTAAAGCAGAGACTAAAAATGGGAAGCGTGATAAATACTCTCCAACTATTTTACCTTACTGAGAAATTCTCAGAGTACGCCTATTTTCCTTCCCCATGTATTGTGACTGGTAGAAAATCTTCCTAGTCAGACAGAGGCTTTTACTATCCTGGGACTAAATGTCTTACACATTTTTTCTGAGATCTCCTATGTAAATAAATAAATAAGCAAGCAAGCTCAGTCACTATGTACCCTTCTGACAAAGGAACAATTAAAAATGTTTTGCTGCACTGTCCATTTTATAAAGACACGCAGTACGTTTTATAACTTTGTTTTAACTAAATTTTGAGGCCATTCAAATCTATTCTAAATGCAGGTGCTGTAAGTTGACCAATATGTCTCAGTTTCTTTGAATGTAGGCACATTTTCTTTTACTGTTTGTAAAATTTGCTGTGATTATGTAACTATTTTTGTTTTATTTGCTCATTTTATTATATTTTAAACTTATAATTTGCTTTTTGTAGAACTCTGATCAGTGAGCACAATAAAGTTTGTACTGTACTTGTTACTGTAAAATGGTCTTTAAATAACTTATTATATTCCACCTAAATCCAACCTTTGTGAAATGCCTTTAAAGAGTAACAGTTGCAACAGTTTGACTAACCATGTTAATCAAAGACCAAAACTCCTAAATCAGCTAATTAATAAAAAATAATTTACTATAAACCAAGTGCCTGGTTATGAATGAAGAGAATCATAGTACATGTCATTTTAAAAGCAAAGATGTCTATTGAAGAGTCCAGTTTTGCTTTTGCTTTTAATTTAATTGTATGGCTTTAGCTTATTTATACTCAAGTTAATGATTTCTTCTGAGCTGGTATGTCAAGATTTATTTACAATTATATTAAGCAGATAGTTTAAAATGTGAATGCAGCTTAAAAGGAATGAGTCCTGCTGTGCCCAGTAGCCCATGAAAAGGAAATGGGGATGTATAATGTTCTGTAATAACTGTTGTCAAGAGGACAGATACCTTGTCTGGCCAAAAAGAAAAAAATCAGCAGTCAAATATTACAAATATTAGCAGTCACCTCTTCAGTGCAGAATCCCTACTAGGCCTTGATCAGAAATATACTTTGAAAGTATGTAAATCAATACCAAAAAGAACATTAGAGTTGGTCCCACTACAAATAGCACAGCATTCAATCAAGGTGAAAGTGATGACAAAAAATGATTACATGGCCAATTTTTTTAGTATTGTATTAGCCATAATCAAACATTTTTAAATGGGATATAATTTTGAAGTCTATTATAGTACATGGAATAGGGCCCAATTATTACACCACCTATATGGTGTTTGCCTAGCCAATTCAAGCTGACAGAATTGGCAAACTCCAGATTCTTTTGATTAAACAATGTCATCTGTCAGGACCCAGGAAGCATACCTTCTCTATTGCAGTGCCTGCCTATGGAATGAGGTTCCCCCTGAGATCTGGATGGCTCCCACCCTGTTGGTGTTCTGAAGGGCCATAAAGACTTGGCTGTCTCCCAGGCCTTGGGCTAGAGTGGCTGGAGCCCCCTCCATTGGATGTTAGATGTTGGATGTTTTGGGGTATCTACCAGGTTGCCGTATTTCTCTTTTTGTTTTTGTTTTCCACTTTGGTTTTGTTGTTTGTTGTTTCCTATTGTATTTTTTAAATATTCTTTGGTGTAGTGTGAGCCTCTAAGAGTTGCTGGGAGCCAGGTGACATCAAATTGAATAATTAAATAAAATAAATGATCATTTCTGTGAAATCTCAGGAATAGATCTAAAGCAGTGGCCAAAGGATTTCAAAAAGAGAGAGAGGAATATCCAGAATATTATATATTGCTGGTACTTGACATGTAGATTTCTCTCCATACTCTCCTGGTCAAACAGCTTACTTCTCATGAGTCATTTTTAGCAGGATGCTTTAAGGACTGGCACCAGGTAGTAGAAGCTACAAAGATCTCATGTACCTGCAGCCCTTCTTGGTCTCCTCTATGGACCCTTCCTCATATTTCACTCTAGAGAATATAGCAAAAAAAGACTAAAAGGAGGAAGTGGAAGCAGTTGAAAATCACAGTTTCTTTTAGGACTGCTCAATATGCATAACTTTCATTTGTGCCAAAATCAATGTAAAAGTCTCCCTCTATTTTGAAGGCCCGTGTGGTCATCCATGCACAATAGGAGTGTCTCACACATGCTGCTATAGTTGCACCATAATTTTTTTAAAAATTAAGTCCATGACTGCCCTTAACATGGAAACACCGCAGAGGTTGACACTGTGACTCAAGACTCTATTGCTTGAGCTAGGATGGTAGTTGGAACCACGGTGTTTCTTTGGGCCCAATAAGGAGTATTCTGGCTCCTTTCAAAATGTTGGTGCTTCTCTGTTTTCTGGATTTTTTTTAGCAATTAAGATAGAGGACCAGTTGCTGTTCTACTGGGGATAAAATGACTGTCCCTTCAAGAGCTCTGCAGCTTCCCTTGCTCAAGTAATCTCAAAAGACTTTTAGTTCCATATTTGAGATCTTAGATATGTTAGAGGAAAAGGGATAAACTCTTTGAAAAGAGAAACTTTAAACCTTTGAATTGGCTTGATGTGATTACATTGAAAACTACTTTAATACAGTAGTTGTTTCCTGTTGGTCATTTTTCTAAATAAGTTTTATTAACATAAAACAGACAATTACAGGGGATGATTATAGTATTATATATCAGAAACACCAGCAAGGGTACATATTGAACTTTTTCATTTTCAAAGGAGATGAATCCCTTAATCTACTTCTAGGCATAGGTGTTTTGTAGCCGTATCCCAGGATGATATAATAGCTGGGATATGTACAATTTTGTGCAGTTTTGCTGGTTTGTATTTGCCAAAGAGATCTAAGTGTTAATATGCTGGGGATGAGTTGTGATCCATAGAGTCCTACCCTGGCAATGCAAAATATGAAGTGGTCCAATTGTCTTCCCTCTCTCTTGCATTTACTTGTATTTCTAATCCCAAAAGCTGCATATCAAATCAAAACGATTAGTTATTCCCCTCCAATCCACCAAGGTCTGACGTAGTTCTTACTTTATTCTTGAAGTTTCAGGGTTTGTGTAAACACTGTAGGTATAAAATACTCCTGCCTTTCATTCAATTTGGTCTATTACATAAACATTCCAGCAAATCATTTGTACTCTAGCAATATAGAGCAGATATTAACAGTCAGTAATGAATACAGATTTATTGCAGAGGTTGATATATAAGCCCTAAAATATTCTGAATTACCCTTGTCGCTTAATAGTTTGTTCCTTATGATAATTGCCTGTGCTGAATTTGTGTTATGTCTTCTACAAAACGGTCAATTGATTTTAGATTTTAGATTGGTTATAAAGCACTACTGTTGTCCAGGCCTCAGCTAAGCAAAAGCTAGGTAATAAAAAATAAAAGCACTTAGTGTTTCAGCTTAACCAGTTTTAAGCTATTTGAACAAATCAACTTTATCACAGCAGTTTTATTTCAACATTGATGTTGAACAAAAAGGTTCAGAATCTTTACATGTCTTTTAAAGTATTATATGCAAATATCAGCAATGACACTGAAGCATTGACCTTACGTCTGTTAGAGGTTTCAAAAAGCAGTGCACCAGTTGCTATGTTTTGCATCAGCGTTCATAAAAAGTAGAACTTCGTAGTAGTAACCAAAGTTGATGATCAGACTGTGACTCTAAGAAGAAACTACCACAATACTTGATATTTCATTTGAATTTTTGGTTCTGAGAGCTGGTAGTTTTCTGAAATAAGTTTTTGATTTGTCTGTGTCTTTTTTGTCAGTCAGCCAATTCTTTATGGCCCAATGGACATTATTTTCTCATGAGTGTCAATAGCTGCTTTTTTGAGTTCTTTTAACCTCACCTTTTCTGTCAGCCTCTTTTTCTGTTGCTGTTGACTTTTCCAAGCCTTGTATCTCATGTAAGAGGGATTAAACATTATTGTTAATATATAAACACAAATAGAATGACCCAGATTTTAATTCTAAGGGAATTGTCCAGTGCAAATTTTCTTGTGCTGGCCCTATTAAAAGTGAATCAAGGAACTTCATGAACTGGTTTCAGGTTGGCTGATACAAGAGTATTCTGGTTGTTGTTACTCGATTTATTATAACAACACAGCAATGATAGTAATTTGAGATCTTGGGGGACTTAGGAGAAAAAATATAATTCTATATTTGTGATGTCAGAAAATAATTTTGAACAATCCTTTAAGTTTTGCATTTATTCTTATTGCTATATGGTTTCTTTCTGCCACATGGGCATCCAAACTTAAATATTTTAACCCATGAAAGATACACAATTTTGTTTAACTTTGTGACTTAAAAATCAATAACTTTAACTGGATTCTATTGAAAATATTTAATACAGTGTTGTTCGTATTATATTCAATAATATTTTAATATTATTGGGAGAATATTCAAAGTTTCTGAATAATCAAAATATTAGCTAAATGTAAATGCATCCAGCAGAGAACTAAACAGACATGAGGATCTTATAGAAAATCCCTATCTAATTTGCATAATCACAGGATTTGAATAATTCATCCTGGATTATTGGGCACACTGTATTTCATTACAGAATCACAGGAAAAGAAAGGCTTAGAAGAGACCCAGTGGGTCACATAGGACAAATCCTGTGACCATGAAAATGTCCTTTTATTTCTTTAGCTTTCCAGTATTTCTGATATATTTCCAAAGCATAACAACAAAAACAAGAAAATCCTTGACTTGCAGAAAAGAGGAATTTTTAATTAAAGTAACAGGAATTTTTTTTTAATAATTTAAATAGATGTTAATTATTTCTAAACTGTTTTGTGCCTGTGATTGATAGAGTTTGTTTTTGATCTGAGCACACTTTATGCATAATCAGAAGATTTTAAAAACTTAGGTTTTACAGGATAATTTCTTTGGGGCACTTGATTTTCCTTACATTTAAAACATAGCAGTACTCTCTAGGTATGCATCATAGCAAATCTGTTCTTAGTGAAAAAGTAAGTTAAACTTACCAAGCTTTAAAGATATTGACTGTGAGTACTGCTACATGCAAAATTATTGGTATACTGTAAAGAGATGCTAAATAGAACTGTTTACAAAAATGTATATTTCTAATCTCCTTTTTTCAAATTTAGGGAGAGCCTATCATTTTCTGTGAGGAAAGTTTTATCAAGCATCGTTCCAGTTCTACTAAACGATTTCTGGAAACCGCAGTGAATCTACAGCTTTTTAAACAGGTATTTCTGGGGATTTTTGATCTAGTACCATTCTAAATGTACATAGCATATGCATATTCAAGGATAGAAAAATGGATACAACATTCTCAGTACTTATTTCTGAACTTTGACTTGAATAATCCAGGATAAGTGAAGGATTTATATGATCTGAAGAGAAACCAGAGTATATCCAGGATAAACTCTTGTATGTTTGTATTATAATCCCATAGTCAAAAGGTTCTTTCTAGTGACAACTCTTTGAAGTAATAAGAGATAATCCTGCTTCAATTAAAACGGTCTTGGGTTTCTTCCAATATATTAATCAACTGTATTTCTATTTGGACTCCTGCTGTTCATCTGCTACCCTCCCGTGAGTATATAGAATCTGTCTTGGCAGGTTTTCTAATCCTCCAGAACAGATCTGGCAAGTATGTGGGAAAGTATTAATAAACTGTTCTGCTACAGGTAAGATTCAACCAATCATAATTTTAAGCCCTTATTCAATGAGTAGTTCTTTGTATAAAAAAGTTTTGAATAAACATGTAGATTTAGAAGCAGATTATCATCAGTAAAAATGAACAGAAGTTCAGTGTTCCTATGGCTGCTAGCCTCCACCCAGGTCCTCTCTTAAACTGGTCCCTTCAGGGCCAAGAGGTTTGCTATGTGAGATGGCTTTGGGGCAAAGGCATGTGTTCTAATCAGAGTACTTTTTTGTAGTACTCTGAATTGCTAATGGGGCATATTTGTACAAAATACCCAACAGATAGGTATAATGTTTAAGCAGAGGTGTATAAAATCTATGTTACTAAAACTTAAGGTGAGAAAAACAGAACAGAAGCAGGAGTCTGCACCCAGCTCCTTGATGCTCATAGTTATAGTCATAGATAGTATTACCATTTTGGCATTATTTAAGATATGCTTTATGGATAAGCACATTGCTGTCAGGGTAGTACAATGCATTTTGTCCCATAGGGTTGGCTTTGACTTTCTTTAAAAATGGAAATCAATTCAGTAGGACCATACCATTCAGTCATATTTTCGGTTGCTGTTTTCAGATGTACAGCTAAATCCTAGTTTAGCGTTGATTATCCAAAGGGACATGTGTTTGAAATTATGCACCTCTCTTCTTTCCCAATGCACAGGAAGGAAAACTTTTTTTTTTTTTTTAGTACTCTGTTGTATCATATTCAGGGGAATTTCTGTTTGTTCAGACAATCCAGAATCAGGTCATATCTTATGATCCTGGCTGATTTTCAAACAGTTTTTAAAACTAACCTGTCTCTAGTTCAGACATAATGAGGAACTTCTTCTTTAGAAGTGAGTGCTTCTTATCTCTTCCTTGTGGCTATAGCAGAGAAGGAGAGGAAAGGGTGAAAATGCAGTGTTTCAGAACTGTTTCGTCTGATGAATCTCAAAAGCTAGAACTGAAATTGTGTATCTGGAATTGGGGAGAAATTCTTAGTTTTGAACTCTCTTGATATAAACAGGATTTAGGAGGGCTACTTCAATTGTAGCCTAAACACTGCATTATTGATACTTGCTGCCACATGTCATTGATTGATTGATTGATGCCGGAAGATTAGTTTCCCTGGCCTGTTGGAAACCATTGTTGGATGAGGAGAGAACAGAATGATTCAAGTATGAACAGTCCTAAAAGCTTATTAAAAGCATTGGATAAACACTGCAATCCAAGCTGCAGCACAAAATGGAAAACATTGCCTCTGATTAAAACAGCCAGAACCTTAGGTGGGGAGACCATGTTTAACTAATCTTCTGGCTCTCTTTGAAGATATAGTACATAACAGATAAGTGAAGTTCACAGGATGCTAGGAACTTTCATTTAAAACAAAAGCTTTTGTCCCTGAAATTTAATGGTTGATGTAGAGATTTATGGCAGTAAAAGTGAAATATGTGCAGCATCTAATTGGATAGAACAGAAATAATGTTGTTCTGCAATAGGGAAAGAAATAAGTTTCAAAACTATTTCATTTTATGCCTCTTCACTTTTATATAATTCCTCCTCCTTGTCTTGCACATCCAGCTGCTCCTGATCCAAGAGCTCTTGTTTGTAATTAGGCACTTTTCAAGGTTATTTGAGTCATAAGAGACTTGAATTTAAAGTGCTACTTTAAGTTCAGTGGTGAGTACTGTTTTTTAAACAGAAAAGAAGTCTTGTGAACAGTCCAAAGACAGGTACACAGATAGATAGATGGTGTATGTGTGTAGACAGCAAGACAGACATTTGCATTATTGTAATTCTGGAACAGTATACTTTTGGAAAGTGAAATCATAGTAATCATACAGATAGGAAGCAAAAGCAGAATGTAAGAAGCATGAACTACATATTACATTGTAGATTTCTAACCTTTTTCAAACTCATCTGCATAGTATAGATATCATTAGGAAGAATGAAGAGGACTCTGTGTATTTGATCTAGCTGAAGGGCAAATGTATCTATTTATAGCATGGCAGATTAAACTATTATATTGATAGACTATAACCACTGCAGTGGGGTGGGGGTGTAGTGGGTTTATATTTGGAGTTTTATTTCTGTAAGCTGCCTGGAGTCACTGTGAGTTGGGCAGCCATATAAATTGCTTTAATAAATAAAATAAACAAATTATCACAGGTAAACAGCCAGCATCTATCTCCCTCCCTCTCTACACATACATACATACATAGATAGCATTGATTATGTCCACTTACACCTGTTATCCTTTCATACCTACATTTCCATGTATGTATAAAAGGCCTCAGACAGAATTGGTTGATAATTGAAACTGAGTACATGAGTAGTTACTCAGCTAGTTTCACCCATCTTTGAATGACTCACCATATATAATGTCTCTGAAGCCTTGAGTATGTATAATTTTTGGTAATTCCTGCACCACTTCTAATAATAGCTATCTTCGGAAAGTATGGAACTACAGCTGATAGACCTCCTTACACTTAATGCTATTAATAAGAAATATATAACACAGTGATAAGAATCCTAAGAAAAAGGCCAAGCAAGGTAATTTTTTAAACTTTGGGAAATGCTTGTTACTCAAGGTTGTTGACAGGGTAATACTTGTGTGCATTGCTCCATACTGCTAAGTCTAAGCATGGAAAATGTTTTTCAGAAAGAAGAAAACTGCTTTATCTGATTTGAAAACAAATATGTGTGTATGACAATTGAATGAAACCCTTATCCGGTATATAAGGAGCAGAACACTGACCAATTTTTTGTACCTCTGTGCAACTTTTAGAAGTGCTTCTGGTACTGCATTGTTCAAGAAGAATCACTGAAGCTATAGTCCGGTCAAACAAAAATATGGCATGATGTGACACATAAATTTGTTTTATTATGTACTTAGTTGTCACCTCTCTGTTCAAAGTGAATTTATTTAAACTTGGAGGCTCTTTTAGGCAGTGGTCTGAATTGCTAATGGAACATATTGTGTCTTGTACAAAATACCCATCAGATAGGTATAACACTTAAGCAGAAGTGTAAATCTGTTACTAAAACTCAAGGTGAGAAAAAAAAAATTGGGGCATAAAAAGGTATACTTGTTTTTAGTATATTGTTCATTCTTGATGAAATCTGACAAATCCACCACATACAATTAATGGAGCAGCATTAATTTTCTGTGAACCCCCAATTTGTATTAACATTTTTCTGCATACAAGATTAGACCAAAAACAAATATCTCCCTTTTAGCTCAGGCTTAACACTCTGTTATCTAACTCTGTAATTTTACTTACTGATGAGACGTCCATAAATCATGTGCTTGGTTTGAGAGCAAGGAATGATTTCTTAACCCTCCCCAAATAGATAATGCCTTGTGGTTCAAAAAATGTTTTCTGCACAGTGGTAGCTAAAGGTGCTTTATCTCATTCTTGCTGTGAAATAATCCAGTGATCCCATACTGTGGTCTGACCATGAACCAACCCATTTGGAGAAAGGCCAGGTTAAGGTTGGGGGGGGGAGAATGTTAGCTGAGAAGAAGAGGAAATAATAATCAGTGATAGCATATCCTTTGCTGCTACTGCTGGATCTGCATTTATCTATTCCTCTTAAAAATGTATTCATGGAACAGTTTGTTTCATGTCATCAGTCTATCCATTGACAAGCATCAGATTGTCACTGACAGGCCTGTTTGGATAATCTGTGATAGCGTATGACAGTCAGCCAGATAATTAATTTTTATTGGCTCCTATGTACTATTTCAAGTTAACAGTGATTTGGTGGTAATTCATGTTGGAAAATGTGCAGTCAAATGATTTCTTTGTTTATCTCATATTTTGGTTACCTAGCCCTGAGAAAAAACGTAATGCCTCTTGAAAGTATCCTAAAAATGTCAGTACTTTTGGAGGGTTGGGAAAGATTATTTTTTTAGTTTTATGAAACTTTTAAGGCAAATTGAGGATTTTTACAAAACACTGTTATTTCATTTGAGAGTTATATTGAGATACTGGTTGTCAGTAATTTAAATCTGGCAGTTTTAAGAAGGTTTCATAGTCATTTTCAGACTATGTATATACTATGTATAACCAGGCTCAAAATCCTCTAGAACTCAGAGTTCAGCATAGATGGGAGAATTAGAAACTTGCATTTTCATATATCCGTTTCTTTCTCTCTTTTGGCACTACCTTTTTTTTCTTTTTGTGAGATTTAAACTGGCAAGCTGTGATTAATGCTAACTTCGGTTGTTTGCAATCATTGCTTAAAATGATTAGCAGTAACCATTGGTTTTAATTTTGCAGTGATGAACAAAGAAGTGGAAAAAGGATAATTTGATTGTGAGAGGAAAGACATATGCACATCCATCTTGTATTCTAGTCCTCCAAGCATTAAAAAAAATTGGGAGGGGCTAAAAAATAATTTCTGGACACTTCATCAGTTAGTAAACATTTATTTTTCCAGTACACATAAATACATAAGACTTCATAAGAGTTTTATGAAAATAAAGCTCTATAAAAAGTCCAGTATTTGTATCCTGATTATGTAACTTATACATCTATCCTAAATGTATGAGTTAATCCTTATTGGAATAAGAATATCACTTATCAGGTCACAGTTCTCCTTTCTTAAGTAAATAGATTAAGATTATTTTATATAAATTACAGCTAAACATCATGATGTTCCTGTGAACATTTCCCTTGATGCCCATCTATCTCTCTGTCCCATGGAACTTTATTTTTTTAAAGATTATTTAAAAAGTAAGACTGTCTCTTAGTTTTACATAGGAAGAAAAATGTCTAGAAGTTGGTTTTCTGACTAATAAATATCCTGGGAATATAGAGGAGGCAGAAAGAAGCAGTCTCCCCAGTTCCTTCTGTTTTGTGTTCGTTTGTGTCCATTGTATTAGCCCTTTGCACTCACAAAGTTCTAAATATCTCCATCAGCCTGAAAAAAGCTGTAGTGCTCAGGCAATGAATTGTACAGAGTTTATGAACTGAATTTATATCAGGATAATTGTCTTAGAAATTTCCCTAAAGAAGCATTAGAATGGAAAATTAACTCCAGCAGAATACGGTTTATAAAAATGACATGCATTATTTTCTTTGCATGTTTTGCGCAATAAAAATAGTATCTGTACGTTTCCCCCACTTTTGCATTCCATACATGTATGGAATTCTGATAGTTCATAAGGTGATACAGGAAAGTTTTTGCTTTGTAAAAGGCACCATGTGCAGGGAGGATAAAAGAAGTCCAAGTTGTTGTACTCTGCTGTCCTCTTCATTGATACTAGTTTGTTAACATTTGAAGAAGATGTTAGTTTCAAATGCAATTTGTTGTGGTTATAATTACAGACATTGCTTGTATCTAGCAAGCAAGACATGAGAGAGCTTATATAAATTGATATATAAACATAACAGTATGAAAGCTTATTGCTGAGTTGTTTAAAGAAGGTAGTTTTCTTCCTATCCAATATTAAATAGACTAGAATTGTATGCTATTTGGAGAGATGCAAATAGTAAATTTAGAATAGTTTAATGGGAAAACAGATTTTAGACATTGCTTTCAAGCTGATACATTTGAATTACTTTAGTATGATTTGCTCTCACAAAATATGCTCAGAATGTAGGTGCATCAAAAATGACACCATATATTTGCTTTCGATTGTTTAAGATTACTGTCCTGTATTTAGATTAGACTCATATATCCTGCAGGTGGACAGAATTTTTCTTAGGCTCTATTATTTTAAAAAAATATCCCACATTTTAAATCAGCTAAATGAGATATAGGAGCTAAAGCAAATTAGACATCAGTTGCCAGAAAAAACAATCCTTTGAGTACCATGCCTTTAAAATATGAAGAAGATAAATGTTATATTCTAATGTGAGATTAATGAAAATACAATTAATGTCAACAATCTTCTGCTACAGAATCATTATGCTATATTGTCAAGGAAAATATGATTCCCCCACTTATTTTGCCAATTCTGGATCAAAAATTACCACAAGTTTTACCTTGATTAAGTTTCAAATCACCCTTTCCACTTCCCCAATTCAGCTTTAACAGCTGTCAAGAATAAAGGAGATAGTGAAGGGTGGATGGACAGATGATTATGTGATGAAATGGAGGTGGGTGTGACCTCTCTGAATTTCTAGCACTTTATGGTACAGCTAATAAAACTACATTTTCTACAGTTTTCTTAACAAAGTTATTACAGCTTTGATCCACATTATATTGCAGTTTATTGAAGGTCGACTTGCAAAGCTAAATGCAGGAAAAGTGTTCTCTGATGTATTTGAAGAAGAAATCTCATCAGGAAGTGCAGGTAGATATATACTTTCGTACTTCTTGGCTGCAGGTAGGTCTCAATTAGTGCAGCTAATGAATCCCACGAAATGGTCGCATTATTCAAATTCGCACTATTTGAAGTGATATTTCTATGGGAAATATGGTAATTGGCTCCAGCTCAAAGGAAATAGGCAGTGAAAATTTTTAAACATTATATCAATGAAATATTACAGTAAAAGATAAAAAGAATATACTTATACTTTAAATTTATGATTAACAAAGTCACAGAGTACAGGTAGTCCTCACTTAATTACCATTTGTTCAGCAACCATTTGAAATAACAGTGGTGCTGATAAAATGGACTTAATGACCCGTGCCCAAAATTATGACTGTTGCAGTGCCCCCACGGTCATATAATCAGAATTTGGGTGCTTGGCAGCCCGCCTGCACTTACGACTGCAGGGGCGCTTCAACTCCCCACACCCGCCTATCTCCCTCCAATCTCTGTCCTTTTGGCCCTTCTGCTGCCCTGTGCTTTGTCACCTCAGCTGACCTTTGCCTCTGTGATGGAAGACATGAGCAGGGAGGTCCAAGGTCATAGGGAGGGGGAGAGGAATCCCAAGCATCTCCTCAGCCCTCAACCAGAGCATGTGAAAGTGAAGAGGAGGAGACTGGTACCACCCTAAGGAATTTGGAGTGTTTAGTTGCTGTTGTTGGGGGTTGGAGTTAGTCTGGCAAGATTCTGTCTACTAGGTGTAAGCTAATAAAGTAACTGAGCTGTTCCTGGATTTGTCTCGCTGTGGTTCTTGGGCTGAACCTGACAGCCGCCATCTTGTTGCTCCCGCTGCTGATGAGGTGTGCCTGGTCTAGCTGCTGGGCCCTGTGGAGCTGGCTTCACGCTGCAAAGTAGGGGAAAAGAGCTGAAAGCAGCCTTTTTTTCTCCTTCACAGCACTCCCTGTCATCCCTGGGGGCTAGCCGAAAAGGCTCTGTGCTGAAATCCAAGCAGGAATTTGGCATGGAGCTTTTTCAGCTTCAGAATCCTCTTGACCCTGGGACTGAAAATCCAAGTGGTTCTGAGGCCTTCATGCAATTGACTCACACCACACCCCTGTGCACCCTCACCAACCCTCCCATACACACCCTCGCTTCCTTCCCCACCCAGCATCTCCTGGGGCTTGCAACTTCCTCCCAGCTTCCCTGCTGACTTGATAGGGGCATTCACTTAACGACTGCTGGGATTGCGGTCACTAAGCAAAGTGGTCATGTGATAATTCGCTTAATGACCGCATCACTTAGCAACCTAAATTCTGGCCCCAATTGTGGTCATTAAGTGAGGACTACCTGTAGTTTTAGAAAGCAAACAAAAACAAATTCTATTGTAGATTCAGACATTCAAACATCTCGTCCTATTTTAGCATTGCTATGACCACATTCATATACCGTAATTCAATTACATCAAATTTTCTAATGTAATAACAAGCCTCTTCTTTTTTAAACTTGTATTGTTTTCCTCTAGACAGAATCTTCCTTTCTTCCATTTTGTATGTGAAGATTTGCAGTATCTAAAACTGCAACTCCATATGCACTAGCCTCATTTGCGCTTGTGCTAGCCTCACATTAACTGAATTTTGGGTCATATTAAACATGACCTGGTATCAAATCAAATCTTTATTACAGTCAAAGACCAGCATAGGACCTGGTATCAATTTACAATTCTCACTAAATCAAATATCACATTATTCAAACTCGCACTAATCACAACCTACCTGTATTTTCATTCCTCCTGCATTAATTGAAATAATGGAAGATAACAATACTTTTTAAATAGATTTTCAGCTTTGTGTTGACCCTGTATAGAGTTTTTGATTAAATGACTATAATAGAAGTACTGATCAGATTCCATGTTGCTGAAAATCCAAAATTAGAAAAATGATTTCTTGATTGATTTTGTGTAGGGTTGTGTAGAGCAAAGGTTTATACAAAATACATGTTGTTACTGTATATATGTTCTTACTGATCTTTTACCAAACAATTGTTTGTATTTTTATTTTAAATAACTGCAGTTTTCCACAAATCATAGATGTTAGAGAAGTTAAAGCAAACTGACATAGGACTTTAGTAGTTAATCTGAAAATGTAATAAATAAAATGAACACTCATGAATCTTATGGGATGAGTGTGAAATTAGTCTGTGATTGTAATAAAGTTTTACCTTATATGTCTGGTGTGAAATTGTTCCTATTAATTTACACCAATTCTCTTAATGCCAAAAAGCACAATTGAGGCTTGATTTAAAGTCCCCTTTTTGAATGAAGAGTGTTTTTTTTTAAATTTATGCCTCTAATTATACTTCTGTGTGTGCGATGTGTGTTGCTATGAAGGTTTATAACTTCAGCTTCAGAGGATATCATAAACATTTATATGGTAAATTGATAGAATTTAATATAATAGTTAATTAAAAAGGGTAGGAGGCAGAAAGACATTAACTCTTCAGATTCACATGTCCTTTTCTCTAAATTACATGCTCAGCTTTTATGCAAGTATCTGCAGTTTTAAATGAAAATACTTTAGTAATTGTATATGAGGGCCAATTTGATATAGTGATTAAGGCACCAGGCTAGAAACCAGGAGACTGTGAGTTCTAATCTCGCTTTAGCCACAAAGTGAGCTGGATGACTTTGGGCCAGTCACTCTCTCTCAGCCCTAGGAAGAAGGCAACAGCTAACCATTTCCAAAAATCTTGCCAAGAAAACTGCAGGGACTTGTCTAGACAGTTGCCAGGAGTCAAGATTGATTTGAATACAGCAAAAAAAAAAAAAAAGTACATACATGGATACCCATCATGCTATTCCCTTTTGGATAAGCGATATTAGGGTTAGGGTACTTATATAAAGACCAGGAATATAAATTACATTAGATAATTTTTCCAAAGCCAGAAGGAACAACATTAAAATGTCTCAACTCCCAAGACCTGCTGGAACAGCTAAGTTTTAATGGCTTTCCTAAAAACCATTCAGGTATGGGCCAGTTAGATTTCCAGAGAAAATCTGTTCCATAGAAGTGGGCAGCAATTGAGGACGGTCAGTGCTACGATCCCTGAAGTTGATAATCCCTGAGTGAAGGCATGCAGAGGGAGCCTACTCTATCAGATTTTATTGGACAACAGATACAGTTGGGTGACCCACAGATACCCAGGTCTTGAGACATGTAGGGCTTTAAGGTGAGAACCAGCACCTTGAATTGCCCCCAGAAGCCACCTGGCCACCCAGAGCATCTCTCAAATATAGTTATATGAGCAAATCAAGATGTTTCACTGCCTTAATCACTGTATTGCTGAGCTTAAGAGGCTTTAGAACATTGATGGTGAACCCTTTGGGCTCAGCATGTCAAAAATTTGGCAAATGCCTAACTTGACTCTGCTGGCATGTCACTTCCCCCCCAAACAAAAGAGAAACAATGCTTTACATATTTATTTTTTAAAAATGCAGTCCAATTATGTGTGGCGCTATGTATTATATAAAGAAATGTTAGATAATTACAGAAAGGAAATATGACTAAAACAAACTCAGTTTCTTTGGTAAGTCAGGCAGGGAGAATAGTTGTTGGGTGTTGCTGAACACTGGAATGTCACCCAAAACTGCATGGCGTGTCACCTTTGACATGTGTGTCATAGGTTTGCCATAACTGTTTTAGAAGCTGTTATAAAACCCATATCTTCCATGAGAAGCCATTATACTTTCATTTTAAGCTCCAGTTATTGGCTAAGACATTATAGCAACTATCATTGTCACTTATACTATTGTAGCATTAATTGTCTCAAAACTAAACCCATATTCACTTGTCCTGCTAAATGAACGATTTATTAGAGTAACACTAGGGAACATATATCAATATGCTGTTCTCCCCTTTGCAAAATTTTGTTGAACTGCAAGATTGTAGCAAGTGTCGATGGCAAAACATGTCATTTAATACTCTGATACAATTCTGTAAGCGCGCGTGCACACACACACAATTAAACCTATACAAACAAAACAAAACATATTTTCAGTTTTTTCAAGTCCTAGCCAATTCTAAACTTACCATGTTTTTAAATTCTGTTCATATCAGCAGTAGATTTTGTCAGAGGAAATAATATAGTCTGATGTGCTGTGAAAACAAAACTGTAAACTCTTATGTTCATTATGAACATGAATTTAATGTACATTGAAGATTATGCATAAAAGCCTAGCAAAAATTGTTTCTAACCTTTGTTTCCCTTTAATTTACATTTTTAGGAAATTCGAGAACATACCACCAGTGGATGCATACTGTGAAGGTATGAAAACATGTCAGAAGACTGGGATATATCTTGCAGTGCAAAAAGTATCACCACGTGAATGTAATCTTGTTTACAAATGTGCAGGAAAATTGCTCAGAATTTGTGCAATATATACAAGTGCATACGTGCAGTGATCAGTGCAAACTTCTCTTGCAAGACACCCTTTTATATAATCAAAACATTATGAAGGAGAATTTCCTGGTGGATTGTGCCCGATATGAGTACATTAGAGTACACTGATAAATGTGTCAGCCGTAGAGATGATATATTGTAACCCTTGGGTGGTAGTAGACAAAGCTAGACGAAAGGCAGCTGTAGAAATCTTCAAAGTGGCATATTCGGGGGCACGCTAAGGGTTGTAATTTAAGTTAACTGGGGTGTCAGTTTTCTTTTAGAACCTAAACATGTTATTTAAACTGAGAATTAAACTGTATTTGCATACTTCAGAATGTGTGTGTGTGTGTGTATGTATATATATGTATGTGTGTGTATATATATATATATATATTGTATTTCAGAAAGGAGGAACCTTGATCAACACAGCAATGAACAAAGCTACTCCAGCTATGAAAACAGCATACCGATATGTAAGAGCTATTCTTTTCCTGTTTCACTTTTGTAGATCTGTGACTGTATATATTCTGCTTTCTTTCAAGATGCTACAAAATATTTGCTCTATGTTGTTTGCTTTAACCATAATTTGAACAATTCATAGTGGCCTAGTTATATATAACATGAAGCTATAACCATGGTTTACAATCCCCAGTGAGGAGTTCAAAACACTGAAAGCCAAAATCAAACACATTAGGTTTAGTGAGGGTGATGTCAATCCAGTCATTATGTCACACCACTTGTTTGCAGAGCCACCATTAAAGCTTCAATAAACAGGTTGACTGAATCTAGAGGTGAAACTCCTACAGTTCTCCAGTTCTTTGTGTTAAGATTCTCTCCTCTTCTGCGTAGGGGTAGTTGCAGTAGTAGTAATAATAGAAATAATAGTAGTAGTATTTTTACTTGGTATGTGCGTATACCTAAGCTTCCTACAAGTAAAACAAGAAAAATCACAATACAGTATAAACCAATATCAACAGTATAACAGTAAAATAATCAATAATAAAAACAATATAACAGTATAACAATAAAAACAGTATAACAATAGAATTATCTCAAAACCTTCAGCACTACCGTAATTTATGCCAGTATCAAGTTCTGGTTTAAAGCCTCCAGCTTTGTAAAGATCCTGGAAAGAAAAGCATTTTAAAGGCTTTTTTAAACTTTAAGAGATCTGACTCCTAAGTAGTTCAGGGGGAAGTTGACTCCAAAGATGGGTTAGGTTTATAAATGCCAGACACCATGGTGATACAATGGACGATTTACCAATAGCAGTGTTACTGATTTGATCCACACACAAATGAGGTTTTCGTGTGGAAGACTAGTATATCTACCTTTTGTTGTCATAATGGGCCAAGGCAAAAAATTCTGTTAGGAATATGTAAGAAGTTATGGAGGTATCAAGGGATCATCCAAGAGGGACTCAGCAGTTGTACCACAACAGAAATAATTTTAGCCATGTCATTTTGAAGGTCTAAAATCCCAGATCCTCTGTTTAAGTTCAGCCAAGACCTTATCTGGGCTGAGAGATGATAGAGCCAAGACCTAAAAGCCACAATTAGCTAAGTCACAGTCAGTTTGCCTCATCAGGGATCAGTAAGCCTATCTAGTAGGGTAAGGTGAACCAAGGATACTCCCCAGAAAAACTGTTTCAACCAAAACTGACACAGCAAAGTTTCAGGTGGGCCTCAAGAGATACCCAGCCAGACTCTAACCAAATAAGGGCATTTAAGGTTGAGCAAGGAACACAAAGTATACCTTTAAAAATTAAAATTAAATTAAAAATTAAACTGAATAGCTTCCAAATTCAAAGCATCCTTACAGGCACACAGCTGGGCACCACAGCTGGGCACCAAGCCCCTTGGATCTATTTAATTTAATTGCTGCAGGGATGTGATTATTGCCTTGATGGCTCACAAATTTAAGGATCACATTGGAGGCTTTCTGGGCTCTTATAGAGAGCTCACTCAGTTATTTATTGCAGCAAGTGGAAGGTTGAAAATGGATGCCTAGATACTTAAAGTCCTTTACCTGGTTAACTGGTCTTTTATTAATTCTCCATCTGATCAGGAACTTAAAGTGCTTTCTAGAGAAGTGTAAAACCTTAGTTTTGGAATAGTTAATTTCAAGAAATTCCCTAGAGCAGTAGATCAGTAAAGGAACTTGACAACTGCCAAGGCCCACTTCGGTTACAGATAGAATAGCCACATCATCTACATAAAGAAGAATGGAGATAGATCAAATAGCAAGAATTGTAGAGTGAAGTTCCAGCTTAGAAAGGGCCTCAATGGTGTCATTAATATAGAAATTAAAAGGGCAAGAATAAACTCCTTTATCTCCTTTAAAAATCGGGATAATGTGGGTAAGTCTCCATTATAGTTGTCCCTAATTTCTGTGATAGTATTTTAATATAGCAAAATTATCAGCCTGAAAAAGTGGTGGTCAATGGATATTGTGGCTAATTTCTTCTAAAGTCTCTCATGAAGAACAGAATCAAAGGCCACCCTTAAATCAATCAAGGCAATGTAAGAGTGCCTTTATGAGAGTTAGAGTACTTCTCAGCTAATTAGTGTAGAATTGCACATTGATCCATAGTGGAAAATCTTGATCTGAAACCTGCCTGTTCTCCAGGTTCATTCAGTCTAAAGGTTTATAGTAGAGAAATCTAGCATAAAAATTGCTGAATATTGGCAAAAGGGTGAATGGCTGTTGACAGGATTATGCCTGTCATCTTTCTTATATATTGGGAGAGTGACAGAGTTCAACCACCTCTTAAGAAACAATGGAGAGTTGTTAATAGAGTTGTTTTACTGTAAATTGCCCAAACTCTGCAATGAGATGGACGGTGACAAATTTGAAAATAAATAAATAAATAAATAATTTTTAAAAAGCAGAGAACAGAATAGCACAGAAGCCTACCAGTCAGGATTTATTTTCAATAATTCTGTGAAATCGTGTCTTTATCTGAGGCTTTACCTACTGAGAAATTAATTTTTGAATTTATGTTTGTGATACTGAGGGCCAGTCAGTAATGGATCAGATAGTAGGGACCTGTGAGAGTTACCACCAAATGGAGCTCTGATTAAATCATGGAAGTATTTGGTCCAAGACCCTAGGAAAATAACGTTGTTGGCGTTAAAGCTGGATTTAACTGAGGGGCAAGAGACAAGATGCCAGAACAAACGGTTATCTTTAATTCCTACCGCTTGCTGAAGCCTTGGCCAATTCGCTAGTGAGTAACTTCACTTTTTCGCCTTCAAAGTCTTTTGTACTCTTTTTTAAATGAGTAAATGTTTCTTGGAAGGGAGAATCATTACAGAATTGGGTATTTTGGTAAATTGAAATTACCATGACCTTGGCTAAGGCACAGAGCTTGTTAAACCAAGATTTTGAATACTCATTTGAGTTATAATGAAAAGGAATTTGATTAGCTGCTAAACAATCCAGTACAGAGCTAATAATTTGCTAGAAAATTATTTAAGGTAATAATTTCATGAGCTAAAGTTTCATGAGTTTCACTTGGCTATGCCAATAATCTATTTCAAATGGTTGGTCATCAATGAATCAAAGAATTGGACAGTAATGACTAATAATTTAACAGACCACACTGGCTGAGAGTATTTGTCGAATGACAGATTTTGTGAATTTGTGAAGATTGGCAAATAACTGAGTGTTCTTGTATGCATTGCCTAAAGGTATGCACCAGCAATTTGAATTAGTAACACTCCCAAAGACCCATTTGATTAGTAAAAAGAGTAGAGTGAATTGAGAAAGGTCCAGTTATGGACCACGTTATTCTGAACATGAATCAGAGTGTGGAGAGCCTAAACATCATATGATCACTTCATATGATCTTGTCAGTACTGAGGTAATTTTCAAATTTATCAGTGTGGTTGTTCCAGATGGGAATAGCCTGGCTGCTTAACACTGAAGGAGCTGTCTGGTACTCTCCTGGATGGGTAAATCAGGAAATGAGTAGATCAACAAACAGTTCACAGACAGTTCTTGATGTGATCAGCTGCTACTGAGGAATAATTAGGTAAGGTCCTAATGGCAACCTGGACAACTTTGCCTTATTGGAACAAGTGTTATGAAAATTCCAGTTGCTACTGCTTGCTTAGAATGTTTTTAAAATTAAGAGATCCCTTCCCACAAAAAGGAAACTGACTTACTGCAAAAAGTGATGTTACAGCAGTTGATGCTTTGTCAAAAATATAGGTAATGTAAGCCCATTATAAAAAGTTTTATATTTTTTCCCACATTTCCTTATTTTTTTATTTATTCACGAAGGTTATGTTTCATATTTACTCCAAGAACTCAAGGCAATGTAAACAATATTTCCTCCTAGAATTTTATTCTGCTAAAATAACCCAGGGAAATAACATTGGGCTGAGAAATACTGACTGGCCAGGATTGATGAATTTAAACCTTAGTCTCCTTGATGCTATTCCAACATTTTAATAAGTACATCATGCTACAGCCTGTTCCCTTAATACATGAAAATTATCTTAGTGTTGGGAAGATGCTATGGGTGAAGAAACACTAAGAACCAAAACCAGAGAGATGTCTGAAAATTGCTTCCTTCCTTTGAGCTTCAGTCATGAATAAATGAATTAGTTCCTTACTCTCATTTTCAAAAGAGAATTTTTAAATTTACATAATTCAAAATCACACTGAAGCCATATTCCAGGTAAATAAATTAAAAGTACTGTGAATTCATGTGCTCATTTATAACTTATATACAGTTCTTTAATGGAGTGGTAAAAAATTGTTCTTCTCTTTTTTCGCCACTGGGTTTCTATCTTATTTTGATCATTATAGTCTTGTAATGATGAACCTATTCCTGTATTCACTGCTGACTTTAGCTTTTTAAGAGAATCTCTGGAAAATTCTTCCTTATGGACTCCCCCATTGGTAGTGTCTTCTGGGCATTTAACTGGTAACTGTTTAGTAAGGGACCTCTTAGTTTCCACCAATGTCCTGTCATAACTTTGTTTTACAGAAGTGTGAGAAGTTAAAATGGTGGCTCCCAAGACATTCTGTCCAGGTGCTAATAGAAAATCAAGTGTGGAGATTATCACAGCACTCTCACCAGGCAATTAGTGGTGAAGGTCGCCTTGTATATACTCCAACTAAACATACACACACACACCCCTACACACACTTACATACATATATACATACTTATCACAGAACACTGAAGTCAGGCAACATCTGTATATTTAACATACACTTGTTGGTGAAAACCTTCATGCTTTCTATCAGGATATAGTCCCAAATGTGGTTTTCAGTCTTTGTATACTGTACTGTTGAAATTAGAATGCAGACTGGGGTATACTCCGAAGTTAGTCCGCTGAAGACAATGCAGTTCAAAGAGACACCCTTCTTAGTCATTTGTATAGCTGAGTGTGCAGTTAGAGGATAAGGTTATCTGCGTTGCGTGCATTTTTTTTTTTTAATCCAGTATGGTTCACATAAGGTGGGCTTTTACTCCATTTCCCCCTATTTTTTGCCTTTACACACTGCATGGAATATGACTTGGCAGAGAAAACAGAGCTTAAAATTGCACATCTTGGGGGAAATTGGGAGTTGCGGAGGCTTGGTGAGGACAATAAAATAGGGCTAAGGTTCATATCTGAGTCATGGGTTGCAGGTTGTTTTTCCTGTATAGTTCATCCTAAATTAGATTTGTATTTAGGTGTATTTTCTGTTTAGTTTAGATCCTGTCCATAGTTAAGAGGAGAGTACTTGGCACACATAAAGAGCATATCCTTTACTTATGGGATTGTGAAGAGCAGTCTCAACTGCATCTGTTAGAAATCTGTTGGAAATAACTCCAATAGCTTTGTTATCCAGCTTCTATTTTGGATAGAAAATAGCCAACTATTGTTGTAGCTGTTTGAAGACTCAGTTGCAGGAATTTGAATTTGAATAATAAAGTAAATTGAAATGCTATTTGTTCCTCTTTAAAGTTAGCATTGCCTCTTGGGGGAAAAAAAACCCCTAACTTCCTTACAATTACTTTTGCTTCTAGAATGATTACTTCACCTTTATATAAAAGCAAACTATTTGTCATTTTTATTCAGGCTGATGTGAAGAGATGGCATGAAACTTCAGTGTAACAAAATATAAATCTAATAATGGTAACTATGCAGAACACAACACTTTGACATGGCTTTGCCATATAAAAAGGGCTAGATTGGAATATTACTGCCTTAGCTTTTTTCCCTACTCAACTTGTGGCTAAACTAAGGCTTTATTTCTACAGATGCACCGTTTCACAAGAATGCTATATTAAGGAAATACCAATTTAATTAGTGTGTTTTTGTAACACAGTTATGCCTATGCCATGATCCATCTCTTAATGCACTCAAACCTTATTAGCAATCATGTGTGAAATTAACAAAGAAAGTGATTTCTTTTTGTTATACCACATAATGTGAAAGGTTTAATTTTTAATTTTATTTCACCTCATCTAGGGCAGTTATCAAACCATTGTTTTGCAGATCGAGTTAGTCCTTTTTCCCTCCTCTTCTTTCCCCCAGGCAAAAAGTCATGCAAAACAGGGAATAAAGGAGGTGAAGAGTAAGTTGAAACACAAGGTATGTGGCAAAATTTGTACTTTCTTACCTTGTTTCTTGCTTCAGTTTGAAGTATATACCTTATGAATCCCACAAGATTTGTGTTTTTAATGACTTTTGAAATATGCTTAGCCCTTTGTTCAACAATGCATTTTTTATAACAAGCCCTCTGGCAACTCTCTGTCATTCTGTGCATCTACTTGAATAATCTCTTTATTGTTTGCATATTTATCATGGAAAAACAGAAGTCTTCAAAGATATATTAACAGGATGTATGTTTTCATAAAGCTGATTACTTTGATGTCACAATTGAAGCCTTTGCTTCTAGCTGAGAATTTAAGGCAAGTGATTTTTAGCAGAGAAATATAATTCAGAAAGTGTAGTTGTCTGTTTAGGTTTTATTGGTTCAGTAAATGGCAGCAGTATTTTAGCATGTTAAACCTTCCAAGTGTATGATCTAAAAGTATTGGAGGCAGCTTATCAAGGCTTCATTTATTCATTGTATTATTTGTTTACCTGCAGTATTCATTTATAAACCAAGTAGTTTGAGCATTATATCATTTTATCCTCAGGTGTCATGTCAAGGCTCAAATATATGAAATGGGTTTCATTTTACTTGATAGTTTCATCATATTTATAAATGATTTGGTAGTTGTTATGCCAGCATTTGAATCTTTTTGGTGACAAATGATGCTTCTGTTTCAGCAAAATAGCTTTAGTACGCTGTGTATGTATATATGTTTAGATTGATATATAAATGTTTAGTCACAACAGTTTTTCAATCTTAATTTTCTCTATAGGAAACACAAGATGACTTTGGAATTTGCAGCTCAGGTTTAGTGCAATACGCTCCATTTGGTACCTTTCATAATTCTCCAAGACAGAACACAGAAAAAAGACGACTTGCACAGGTAATTAAAAATGTTTTCTGTTTGGATGTTACTAACAAAAACAAGATATTGGTTAATCATGATGGGGGATGCACAGCAGTAATAAGCATTGTGAACCCTCTATTGATCCCTACTCCCTGACCCCTGATTTGTATGCATACAATGGGAAGCTGGCATGCTCCAAAGCAAAGGATGTTTTAGCATCATCTTTATTTACAAGAATGTATCTGGGCCTGACATGAGTCAAAGACAGTCCTAGCAAATAAAAACAGTTGGATGGTTTGTTTGCCTACATGCTCAGAAAATAGGCAAAAGTAACCTGAGATGTTATAAAGCATTTTTGGAAGCACCCTCACCTGTTTTCTTCTGTTAATGCATTTAAAAATAGATAAGCCCCTCTTCCTTTGTAGCCATCTTGAATTCCAGAAATGTTCTCAAAATTACAAATGTGCCCACTGGTCCCCAAAAGGTTGCTTAACACACATCACTACAAGCCATTAGTAGTCTACCTAACTCAAATGTATCCAAGCTGGTGCCCCACCTTGTGAATCAGGGAAGCTGTAATGAAATGTAAATATTGTGTGTCTTTTAAAGAAGCATTTCCTCTGTAAAGGGTAGGATTGTATTTGCCTAGAACATGGTAGGCTTCATCTCCAAGACTCATTTAGTTTCCTGCACCTGTGGGAAAATGCTAGGAAGAAAAAAAATCCAGACTAAGTGTGATTTCTATGCAACGTTACTGTGAATTTCTAAAACTTGATAAATGCTACATTTACATTAAAATGCTGATAAAACTTAGTTTTATATAAATGCTGAAAAATGAATATTCTTTACTTTGAGAGATATAAACATCAAGAATGTGACCCTTTGATTTTGATTGTTGATGTATCTTGGAATATATAGACTGCCCAAAATATATCGTTTAGAGATTTAGATTTGCAAAATTCCTATAGGATTTTCGTATGTATATCTAGTGGTATCATAGCATGGGATAGATTCAATGATATGGAGAGCAGTTGTAGCTTCCTGTCAAATCCTTAGTCCAAAAGCAGTCAACTGAAATGCAGGGATATTAGAATTTTAACTAGGCAAATTAGTTATATCTACTGTAAAAGTTTTCTTTTTAAATCCGTGGTGGCAGACTTCTGCATCTGTAGTTTCTTGGTGTCAATATGAAATAGAAACACAGTATATCATGTTTTTCAGAAATCTAGTTCTGTAAATATTTAATATATTGAAAACTGAGAAAGCAAATAATGCATGTAAAAAACTGCAAATGTATAGTTAACACTTTTAAGCATTATGACAGCTAGCATGCCATCTTCTAGCACAAGTTCACTATGTTATATAAATGGAAATGGCAGGTTGCATGGTTTTATTTTAAATATACAGCTGTCTTCTAAATGCAAGGGACAGTTTCTAGGTTTAATTTAGATTTTCAGATGGATTTATTTGTATACATCACTTGTATCCATGAAAAGTTAGTGATTTACTTATTTATTTTTCAGTCTGTTCTAGGTACTTTAAGTAATCATTAATTGTTTAGTAATGGAACCAGTGTATGTTTCATTGTTACTGAGAGCAAAATGCTGGCAGAACAAGATGAGGGTAAAGTGGGTGGGTTCTGAGCAATATATAGATCAGAGCAGTATATGCTAATCTTATTTAAAAACTGCTCAGATTTTAGTGACTGGCTAAGGATCATTAGATGGAATTGCTAAAATAATGAATTGTGCCTATAGATCCCAAACAAGGTGAGGTTGAATTCCTTGGTATGGATTTTATATTGAAAAATGAAGTCTGGAAATCTCTAGTAGCTAGTTAAAGGATTTGAGTATTCTATTGGATGTATCAATTACTAATTAATGTATTTGTGGCATTTATCCTAATGCTGAATTCTGTTCAGCCAAATTTTAAGAGTTCTATTGCAAAATTTACCTATGTAGACTCCTAGTAAGTACAAGTACATACATTTCTCTGTTCAGCCCTGGCTCTGCTACTGGATTTTAAGGTGCAGTATTTTTCTCTTTATATGTGTTCAAATTAAAAAGATATTAGTAATTTAGGGCCAGTCTGTTGGCCTTATAAAATAGTGCATAAAAATCAAAGTCATCTTCATGCTGGAAGATCACATTAGTGCTGTTTTTGACATTGTCATTAGTAATATTGTCGTTTTCTAGAGCTGAATATGAATATGCTTTCTACCCCAACAAATAATAGTTTGTATGCCAGTCTGCTAATTAGTTTGGTTATTTCCTGTTTTTTTGATGAGGTTTAAATAAATGTCAAGGGTACAGACATGGAGATCTCCCAATTAGGCTTTGCATTTGTAAAGCCCAGCCCCTTTGCTTTTGTGTGAAGATGACAGTTCCAACTGCAGCGTCAGTCTAACAGGGCTCAAGGGAGAGGGTACTTCACTGCTTTTATTGAAAACAAGGCTAGTTTGGCCCAGTGAGAATATTGGCATTGGTCACAGTGCAGATCAGTTGTTAACAATGAATATTTACTAATCTCTGTCACAGCCAAGATTGACTGCTTTTTTTTTTCATTGTCAATTCAACGATATACCTCAAAAATCAGTGCCTTAAAATATGCATATATACTTTACACATGCACATAAAATAGACATAAATAACTGTATTGCCAAGGGTTTCATAGTACTAACTTCTCTATTGTATGTACACCAGATTGCTTCTCCATGCAACAGGGAAGAGATCCCACACCATGACAGCCCAATTGATCTTCACCTAAGAGATTCTGAAAGGAATTGTTCTATTTCTGTAAGACGTGCCAGCCTCCTCATAGCTATTCTGGGCTGTTTGGTTGTGGGTGTGTAGAGGAGGGAGAGGGAGAATAAGAAGGAAGAGCTTAACTGCATTGCAAGTCAAAATTAACAGATGGATTGCCCTAAGCAAGGGAAAAGCCACCACTACAAAATCTAGTGAAAGGCAGAGGCTTTTTATTATTAATCCTTATTAAAATCTTGACATGTATTTTACAGTTAACCCTTTCGTCCCTTCATGGTTAAATAATAATCCCTCTCCCCTCTGCATTAATTTAGATTGAACACAATACTTTAACAAAAAAAAAGCAAAGAGAAAGCAAATTACAGAATTTTTAGCATGTCAGCAGTTTTCTCCCATTTATATGTCGGTTTGCCCTATCTTCCTTTTTAAATTCATACTGTAGGAATGCCTTAGATTGTGAGAAGCTTACTTCAGTTTGGGGTGATTTTCTTTAATATACATAGATGCATCAGCTGAGTGGGTCTTTTAAAATGCGGGTCTGTTTCTACAGCATTGCTTAAAAGTAAGGTTTTAAGGCAGAACAAAGGCAGGTGTATATTTGAGGATCTGCTAGCTATCACAGATATCTTTAGGAACATCATCTCAGCTATGGCTGTGACCCATTTTAAATGAAGCATTTCATGTTTTAAAAAGATACTGGCTTATAAAGCTTTGTCACACATTTGGTGGTATCCTATGTAACACCGCTAGGAGCATACAGTATGGTGAAGAATTAGCAGTCCTTCCTTGTTTCTTGTGAAATGTACGTTTATGTATGGTTTGTAAGTTGGGGTATTCAGTAACTTGTAAGAATTTTTTTTTAAAAAGCCTTTTGTACAAAATACAGATTTTTCAGGAATCCCAATATCTTAATTGTAAGTGCATTACTTTTTATAAAGATGTTGTATTATAAGGTTTGTTTATTGTTGTATTATATAATTTGTTGCTAGGACATAGCTCCAGTGATAGCCATAAAGCTATGTAAACTATATGAGTTTAAAATAAACATGTGAAATGTCATTCGCAAAATCCACTTTGTGATACAGAAGCCATCCCAAACGGTGGCTTAAGTACTTGTGTATGTTGCTTTATTATCTTTTTTTTTTTTAATGTGGCTGAATGGACATTTTCAGGTGCTACTTTTGAATTAGTCATGATAATCAAATTAGTAATCAAAGCAATCAAATTATCAAATGTCTTTAAATGAACACAAATCATTTGGCTTGCCAACATGTGTTCACTATGGGTGCTGTTTTACTGTGGTTGTGAGTCTCCTGCAGGCTGACAGGTTGACTGTTTCCTGAAAGCAGGCTGTCCCCTACAGAAGATAGCCCCCTTTGTGCTCTTTCCCACCCCCACCATTCCCAAGCTCAGAGATATGGTATAGGTTGTGTCCTGTTCTATCTATCAAGGTGGAATGAACTGAGCAAATAGGACTAGGTCTTGGCAGAATTCACCCATATTGTGAATTGAAGATTGCATACAACAGATTCGAAGCAAAATTGAACATCATTATTTTTCAGAAATGAAGAAATACCTGTATGCTTTCCACAGAATGAGATTCAGCAGAGCACATGGAATCATACTGAGTTTCAGGCACCCAGTATTCCTCTTTTTCCTCTTTTTTTGCCTTTTGCAGGAAATTCTACACAATGCTAGGGCAGCATTGAGGTCTATCTAGCAATTTAAGTAATGTGAATAAAATATTATATGTGACAGATGTCATGCAGAGTAACAGTGAGCACTGTTGAATCGACAGTTTGGTAGTCTGCTTTAGCTTAAGATTTCTCATAAAAAAGGTAAATTCAGTCAATTAGCACAGTGTTTTAGACAAAAGAAAGCATAATCCATAGATGTGCTCGGCTCTGTTAGTTTTTGTTTGAAGAGACAATCTTTTGTCTTTCCTTGTCAATTATGATCCATCTATATTGCAGCCTGCATATCTTTTAATTAAAAATAGAAAATATAGGCCGCACAAAATTACGAGACTGCCCTCTGGTGGTATAAACGACTTTTCAGGGAGGATATAAAATAATAAAGTCTTCATGTTTAACACATAAACAGTCTAGTATCTGTAGGAAAGCAAGTAAAAAAGCAGAACAGATTTTTAAAAAGCTTGTAATTGTTTTTCAACAATTACTTGCCCTATTTATCTAGTATAATCTTTAGATGTTGAACCCATTCTAGGCTTTCCAACACTGACTTTTGCAAAGTATTTTTTTCCAGTTGATACAAACCGTATCTTCTAGCATAGGGAAAGGAAGGGGTTGCTTTTTGAGAAGCACAAGTAGAGTCCTTGGGGTTCTCTGAGCTTGGTTGTTTTCTTGCAAACATTTCGTTACCCAGCTAGGTAACATCTTCAGCATTAGAAGCACAAGTCAAACAACATCTTTTTGGACGAGTGCAAGCTGTCGGTGAGATTCAATGGTTCTTGGACGTAGGACTGTAATAACTTCCTATTGATCAATAATAGTGTCCTTCCTGAACACTTACATATTTTAAATTCCTTTTTCTTTTAAAAAGAGATTTAATATGAGATATCTTGTTTCCGTTACTTATATATATTACTATTACCAAGCAGGTTTTGAAACACTTTAGCCAAATGGTCAGCAAAAGGTGGCTTACAAGAGCATTAAGATACTTTCTCTATTTAAACCAAGGGTAGGTCACTATTTGACAGCCAGAGAGGAGCAGTAACACAATGACATCACATGAGTTGAGAGGCTGGGTTTTTCTGCAGCAGTTCAGAAGGTTTTTATTTCACTTTTCTCATGTGTTATTCCTATTTGATGGCTTACACATCATTTTATTTCCATTTTTATGTGCATCTCTGTTGTACAGTATTTTGCAGCTGAATCTTATTAGCATGCTTTCTATGAGGCCATAAAAGAGTTTGAAAACAGTAAAGGGATAATAGACAGCCACTGATTTAAAGCTAAAAAACGTTTCCAAAGATGGGGTGGGGGTGGGAAGCAGCAGCTATTTTTTTTTTAAAATGTAGTACAATTCAGCCTTTTACACTACACATTTTAACAAATACAGAACAATTCAACATGCTAATTTTTAAAAAATAAGATTGGATTCCATAGAATCTTGCATAAAATTAATTATCCAAATAATGTAAGCATAATAAAATACTACATCTATTTTATGATTTTTTTTTTTAATTTTTCAATTGGTAATGAGTTGGACCCACCATTAGTTATGTTTAGAGTAGATCCAATAAAATCACTGTGATGGACATGAAAGCCACTTCTCACACACTGAAAAGAAATAGCCTGAGACTAGGTCTGAACATTAGCAAAAGAAGGAACAGATGGAAATGGTCCATCCTGCCCTTAAAAGAATCACTTCTATCTCTTCAAATACAGTCACTGGGAGAAAGAGGCACAACAATTTGAATCTGGATTACAATATAAATAGAACACATTTGATTTGACACATAGCAGTTGCTAGAATTCTTTTGTAATGTCTTCTTAGCTTTTCTACAATTCTACAATAATTCAGAAATTGCTGTAGATGGGGTGGGGGTGGGAAGCAGCAGCTAATTTTTTTTTAAAATGTAGTACAATTCAGCCTTTTTAGTTGGATTCTTAAAATGTAATAAACTCCAAGCTCATTTTCAAAAAGTTTTTGTAGTCTACAATAATTCAGAAATTGCTGTATCCTTGTATACCTGTTTATCTTGCCAGTCCAGCTTGCTGGGAAGAACCCTGATACAAATTAGCCATAATAAACATAGGTTTTATTATTTAGTTGGATTCTTAAAATGTAATAAACTCCAAGCTCATTTTCAAAAAGTTTTTGTAGTTCAGTATAAGGAATGAATATGAATTACTCTCCACTCATTTTTATGAATTAAAGCAGCTAATGTTAAATTTCTAGTTTTTCTTATCAAATAATATTTTAAGAGGATTTCCCTTCATTTTACCCATTTTTACAAGCTTACTTGTTTACAGCTCAAAAGATATATCGCTACAGTTCTGTAGGAATAGTCCAATACTAGTAAACACACTACTTTATCATAGAGATAAAACCAGCAAATTGCAGTCTTAATCTTTCCCCTATAGTATTAGATACAGGCCTGGATAATCTGTATCATAAAATCATAATACTACACTGACAGGAACACAAATGAGTATGCTCAAAGAAACTATAATTGGTCCTAGGATTGGTTGATGCTTTCACATTACAGAAATTTCTTCTTTGGCCATTGCAAATTTTTAAAGAAACTTTATCCAGTTTCTGCTCCATGCCTTCTGGGAACTCAGATATGACTGTTATAAAACAAAATCTCACCATTAAAACCAACAATTAAAACTAATTATAACTTTTAAATGTAGGCAAAAGAATATTTTATTGCTCTTCCAGAAATTATAACAGGTTTGGGCATTGACAATTCCTGAGGGAATTGAATTCTGCAATTGTGGGATTTGTCTTTGCTCTTTAAATATATGATGAACATAGGCTTTTGTAAATTTTCTGTGGTGGGAAGTTTCCTAAAACTAGGAAACACTGTACTAATTAAACTGAAGAAGCATATTTTCTCCCTTTTCTACATAAAGATGTAACAATCGTAATAACATAGCAATCATGTTAAAAACAGAGCCTTACCTATTTATAGTGGAAAAACCAATTTGTTGCATCCATTTACTAAGCATCATGGAAATGAAGAGCTTAATAAAAATTTCTAGTTCTTGAAGCAAATGCTGTATTTTCCATTCTTGCTTAAGCAAACAGAATAGGTCTGGTTATTATTAGGAAACAGAAATCCACTTCTCTTTTCCCCCCTTCCTTTCCCAAAAATGGCAGGAGAAAAATGTACACATTTGGAAATGAAGAAAAGAGAGAAATTAAAAAGGTTCAATATCTGCAAATAGCAGGGAACAGCAATAAAAAGTTACTATAAATGACTCTGACAAATTTAGCAGGTGTGCATTCGATGTCTCTCCACTTAACACACACTTTTTGGCATTTATTAAGTTTTGCTTTTTTATTTTGGGTGTCCCCCCCCCCATGTTGTTTCTTATCATTTTATAAAAAAATAATCTTTGAAAATTGGGGGTGCAGATTATCTGTAACTGATATCTATTGCATACTGTCTATTATATCACTGATGATAAGTGACAAGAATCATCTCTCTTGCCCACATCTCAGTCATGGCCTCTGCGTACTGAAAATTGAGCTTAGCCAGAGCATTTATCTTTGATTTCATTTCCACTTTCATTAGTACTGAGAAGCACCTTAGTTTATTTCCATGTGTTTTTAATTTCTTTCTTTAAACTTGATCAGTTTTCACCCTGGACATTTGAAGAAAGCGTGCAATACCCTTACAAGATGATTTAGAAGCTCTGGGGACCTGCCCATTTATTGAGCTATCCAGTAGTAGTTCTGAGGAGCTCTTGCAGTTTAGGAAGTCAGGGAGCTGTGATCCCCCTAAGCTGGTCCTTGAATACCTGAGCGAAACATAGAAACATACAGCTGGAAGGAGCGATGCAGGATCCAAATTATAACTTCCATGACCGATGGTTGTCTGTCCTTTGCTAGAAAACATCCAATAGAGGTGAACCCATTGCCTGTCTGAGTAATTGATTATCCTGTTTTACCGTTTTTACCATTAGCATTTGTTTTTCAATCGGAATGTGACTTTTCGTAACTTGCATCCATTATTCCATATATGGTACTGATATGACATCATTTTAGATAAATGAAAAATGCTATTGTGTCCTGACCCAGTTTACTCTTCTCATGGATAAACATTCCCAGTTCCTTCAACCTCACTTCATGGAACTTAGCCCTTCTCTGAACCTGTCTCTGTTTATTTGAGTCTTTCTTAAAATGTTGTATC